TATCCTTTTTATTATATTAATTATTACCTGTCTGAATTATCAATATCTGTGAAATCACGACCACATAAACATGCATGGATTGTATAAAACAGACAGGGAAACATGTTCAGTTATTTAAATAAAACTGAAAATTGAAGACATCCTTTTTAAAATGCTCTCAATGTCTGATGAAATGGCATTCATTAGAAAGTACAATCTCCTTCAACAGAAAAGACTGCTTCTTAAGATTCGAGTGACAGAAAGCCCTTGGTTGGAGGGGTTGTAATAAAAACTAGGCAGCATCATCGAGGATTTCTGTGGTAACGAAACCTCACTGCTAACAAGTCATCTTGGTTCATTGTCCTATCGGCATTCTGGTAGGTCGGAAGAATGGAATGGATGGCAGAGGTAGTTGGGAATTAAACTTTTGGCTGGAGACAATGAGGGGCTTTGTTGGCACACGCGTTGAACAGCCTGGCTGGGAACAATGCCTTGGCAATATCTCTATACATATACCATAAAAGATAAAATGTCTAGGCCTATGAAAGCGGTGAATCAGCGTTAATGTTACCGTCTATTTCCAGAAATCTGCGCCGCCGGAGCCCATTCCGTACGTGTCTTTTACAGGTGTAAACGGCCATATTCGCAGCCATTTCCCTCTTCGAATACTTTAAGAGATATAGAGAACTGTAAATTTCTAGTATTGCAATAAACTGTCGTTCGAAAAGCACCTCGATATCTCAAGGTGTTTACCGATGAAAATTTATCGCTACATTTCTTGCTCCCTGTTGACACTCTGGGGATTATAAAATATTTTCAAGTTTATGGCTATCGAATGCTTTATTTTTGTGTACTCGCTCACCATCGAATCCAATCAGGTATGAAATAGTGAATGCACTTTAAGAATTGAATTCACAATACAATAAAACAATACAAAATTAATCAGTGAAATGTTCCTTCAAATAACGAGCATAAAAATTTCAGGAACAATTAGTTCACTTTTATTTATACTCGAAATTTACCAAATTTGATCAATTCTGAATGAGACATTTTTATAACTGGATTTTGCCTCTATATTCGCCGACAAATTTGTAATTCTTGTCATTAAAAAAGTGTCTGTGATTTTTGTTAAAGATCATAAGTATCCTAGGACTTTTGAATGATAATGTACCCTGTCATTGAATATTTATCAGTCGCCTTGAACGCTAAGCTCCGGTTTCCATATTCATCAAAATGTTCATTATCAAGGACGCGACCAATTTATGATAAGTTTTAACGAACCACCAGTCTCAGGAGGAAGAAGCGAATAAAATGATTCACTGATGATGGTTCGACATTACGGAGAGATAGGTGCACGCAATACGCCTTATCAAATGGTAGAATCAAGGATGTTTGACGTGGTGCCTAATGGATCTGCAAGCACGATGTTATCGGACTAAAATTGAACGAATGACAAACAGCAACGGTCTTGGCCGATAAGGGTCAAAGGACGGGATTAACCTTTACTTCAGTCGGGAGCTGTCGGTGAAATTGTTTGCGAATGAACGGGAGATGCAGATAACGCATCGGTGAATATTTACGATCAAACGAACGTGATTCATCGAACTTCAATGTAACGCGTGAACGCAATTTAATTTGTTAAATTTTGTTTGGAAAATGATATTTTGTTTGGTTTGCACAACTTGGTATTTCATTGAATTTAATTGTAATAAAAGTTTAATCTGCTTGATTTGTACAACTTAATATAGGGTGGTGTTGTAAATCATGAAATGTGAAATTTACGATGGTGTGCCATTTTTCCATCGTAGATTTAACTTTGTTTGCTTTACCTTTGTGAAATTAAATGTAGAAAAAAATGTAAATGATTATGAGTATGATTCGAGGACGGCTGGAAACACGAGTGTTTGATCATTTATGGGATGAACCGATAAAAGACAGAGAAGCGTGCCAACTTTCAACGGTGTAGCCCAGCGTCCGCGGAAAACCCTAGAGTTTTCTGTGGCCGTTAAGTCCCCCACGTGCTAGGGTTGACACAGGTGTCGACCTGAGGCCGTTTCCGACCTCGCCAGGAGCAGGCTCCTGAGTTCATAAAGGTTAATGCGTATACGGAAAGAGAAATCTTTCCGGGGCTGCTAAGCTACCAGCGAAACCGGCAGAGTTGGCATTGTACTTGAGGCAGGGATAATCCCTTAGCCCAAACATTCGGATTAATAGCGAGCGACGGCAGCCGTGTCGAAGCGTGACAATACATTCATTCGTGCTTGAACCTTCCTCGAGACAGTATCGAGAATAAAGAGATTCACTAGACAAACGACTAAATTATGTAACCCACCGACGATATCCCAGACCGTAACATTCAACGTCTGCTAACGCCAGAGATATTTAATTATGCGAGCTGGTTTCCGAAACTTTGATAGAAAAACTTTTGATCCGTATGTAAACAGTTGCCGGGAGATGTCAATAATAGGCAACTGAACTGCTCTTGTTATTATAACACCACTTGAACTTCAGTCGGTTGAAATTAATCAGTCTCGTAACAGCCGCCTCGGAGTTGGCATCAACTTGCTAATCGCATAACGGTACAAGTTAATAACTCGTTTCTTGTCTTATGTGGTTGTGTGTTACCGAGGTGTCGGTGTATTATTACATATATATATACGAGGGTGTGTTAATGTTTTTATGGTGTGGTTTCTCATAAGTGTTTTGCATGTGTACGAAAATATTTTATGAGACTTTATGAGACAGTTATGTACGTACAGTGAGTGTAAAAGATGTTTAGACACCGTTTAAAACAGAATAACTCATTTAATGTTGGACTAAATGACTTGAGGTTTTTTGAGAATATACAAATTAATTTACTAAGATATGTGCTTTTGCCGTTTTAAAAAATTACAATTTGTTGAAATCGTGAAGGATAATTTTTTAACCCTTTTATGTTAGCCTATAATGAAAATTGAAAATATGTCTTTTGTAGATTCAAATAAGTTATGTGTATGCTGAAAATTTCATCAAGATCGGATGTTAATGCACTTAGAAGTTACAAGTAATTAAAATTTCCAAAAATCGCGACTTTTTATCTAAGAACATACACTTTTTACACTCACTGTATTTGCTAATATGATTATAATTTTCTTATATCAGTGTATTTCACACATAATTTTGCATGAACGTATTCTAAGTGTCTCATATAATTATGTTGACTTTCTTATGATAAACAAGAAGTGGTGTCATTTGAATTATGTCTTTTTGATTTTCAGTGGAAAGGTGATGTAAAAGGGAGTAGTGAACTGTCTTGATGCAATCTTCAAGATGCAACTGCAGTAGTGCAAGTCAACGATCGGTGAGTCGCATATTTTATGCTTTCTCCAGCCCCTATTGTGTAAAACAAATGGACTGAAACGATACGGGGTTGTTTGTATTTTTATGCGCTAACTCCTTTGCATTTAAAGACGAGCTATTTCGTGAACTAATTTTTGTCCATCCGATTCTTTGAACGAGATATATTTCCATTGAGAAAGAAAATTCTATGTTAACAATTTTATTGCATGAAATATTTAAATATCAAATTTGATCACTTTTTATTTGAAAATAGTTTATTTCAAATTTTTTGCGAATGATTTTAATGAAGCTTATTTGCTGAAAAGACTCGACAAGTTTTGTTCTAAAAGAGTGCGAGTACAAGTTAACGTAACTGTGCTCCCTGTTATGCTCGTTTTTTTACACCTTTTGTTTCGAAATTCCACACGGTACGAACAGTACTGCTGAAATTAAGCTCAAAATTTTCCAAGCACACTGATCATAGCGTCAAAATTTACTTTTTTCTCCTTTTCATTCGCTCTTTAATTACATGAATTGTTTTTTCCCTATCGATTTTCGATACTAATTATGTTTGAAATGTTTCAAGCATTTTACGATGTTAATTACGTGTTCTATTCTCTGGATATTATTTCAATCAAATTGTTATTCTATTTATTCATTTTGATTTGATTGATTGTTATTATTTTTTTAACGAAAGGAAAGGATTTGTTTTTAAATATTTATCATGAACATTAACTTTCAAGCGACACTGAATGTGTCACATGTTTAGATATTAAAAATTCACACGATAAATATCGGGAATAAGAGCAGAGCATAGAAATACTCGGGGTCCTTTGACTGATCATAGAACACTTGTGCATATGTCATATTCGGTAATTAGCTGGTGGCATTCAGAGCGGAACTCACACACTAGCCCGAGACGTCGAAATTCTCGGCATAGACGGAAATGAAGGGGTTAACGACGGAACAATACAAGCTTGCTTCAAGCTATCCATAATGAGGTCGTCCGTTCGTGAAATATGGTTAATTATCTGGTTGCAGGCTTGCCTGACATCAACTCGAACAGGGAGACGTTTCTTTAATTTCACGGATAATTAGTGGAATAGAAGCGTTCCTGTGCTCTTTCACAGCCAAGAACGAATGCAAAAGTACGCGCGAAATGTGCTGATTGCATTAGCGGAAAGACGAATAGCCGTTTCGGTGAATGGGTTCGTTAACTTGCACGCTTACAAATTGCCCACCATTTTGGTCGACCGTTCTACCCCTTCAACGCGGTTTTTTCTCTTTTCTCTTTTTTTTTCCTCTTTCGCGCTCTGGAAAATCCACTGAGGCTAGATAAGACGACCAGAGATTAGACGTTAATACCAGTGCTGATCTCGACGTTACCTATCTCGCATTTTAAGTCTCGTATCCATACAAGAAAACGTATCTAGTAAATGCTGCTGCTTAATTAACACAGGAGAACAGTAATACGACCTCTGTTCTGTTTTTATGAAATACATGGCATGAAATATAATAAATACTAATATATGTATAGTTTTATCGTGTACAGAAAAATTCTGGACTTCAATTAACCTAACTGAATAAAAATATTGGAAAAATTTCTACTAATTAGTTTCAAAATATAGAACAAATGGATTCTACAATTTCAACTTCTATATCATTTTTTTTTTCATTATTACTCGTTCGTGTTACTAGTTCGGAAGTACCTTATTCTAAAATTTTATATAACAAGCGACGTTGGGAAAAAGAGTGTTGTATTATTCGGAAAATCCATTATTCGAACAGTCATGCTTCTTTATTATTTCGGATAATAGGAATTCCACTGTATTCAATGTACATGGTAAGGTAACAATAAGAGGCAAGGTAGAGAGAGCTTTTTTCTGACAATGAGTATTTCTACGTACAAGGAAAATAAGGTTATTCGCTCACTAGGAATAAATGAAGCTCATTTTCGTAAGAAATATGAAAAATGTTGACATATTTGAATTACATTATTATTTGTGGTATTTATTGTTGGTTTAAATCTCGTTCTCTGAACTGACATGAACCATTATAAATTATACAATACAAATCCAAATCATTAAAATCACGTTATTAATGTGGAAACGAATTATATTTAGTCTTTCATCTTTCAAAAAATTGAATTCAATCTTCTGTCGGACGATGATCAGTACCGAGAGGATGAATCACTTTAAATTCACTAAGAAATTGAATCATCATAAACGAGAAATAAATACAATACAATGTATAACCATATGATCTTCGTGCGATAGCTCCAGTAATATTTAAATAAATAATAGTTACTAATAATGAACATAGAAGGAAAGCTATGCAACCAGGTGCCATGTCGCTCATTCTCATTTTTGTGTATAAGTTTGGATAATTAACGGCAGCTCTTCCATATGTTAGACCCAATCCCAATAGTGTATTGAACATTGGACCACCGAAACAAGCTGCGTATCCCATCCGAGGAAATCCTCGTTTAGCTATGGCGAGATTTGATATCATATCTATAAAGAAATTTCCAGTGATATTAGTGATGATTAACAGTAAGATGAATTGCCTGGATGAATGGTACCGAAGCAGGGGTTGCTCCCTTCTCATAATTCCCTTTTAAATTATTCGCGACGGGATGAGTGGTATAAAGCCTCCTTCTTTCATTTATCTTTAATAAAACGATCTCGTGTGCTAGGCAGAAATGATGGAAGCGTGCAAGGGAGGAATTGAACAATTGAATTAGCCGAGGGTTCGAGAATCGTCAGAGATGTAATATTCAGAAACATGAGTCTGATATTTTAATATGAAACAAATATGTAAAAATATATATACAATTATTTGATATTATTTAATTTCTAATAAATATTATTAATATAGCCATCTTCATCAAACTTTAAATTGATACACCATAAGTGGTATTTTGCGGTGCCTCTATTATCTACGAATTATGTCAAGCTTTCTATGTTTAGAAATGCAATTGACCATTTGAAATGCAATAACCTGATAGAAGGAGGCTTCGTAACAAAGTACAGATTACATTCGAATTATGCAGCAGCAGTAGTTAATCCTTTCGTCACTAAGGGCGACCATGGTCGATTTTCATGAAGTGATTATAGTATACTGCAGGCGATCATAAGCAAAGGGGTTTAGGTTTGCAAATGATATAAATGCAATGTGACTATTAATAAAGATGTTGTGTTGTAAATCGAGTTTAATAAAAACCATTGCTTTAATATACAAACGTACGGAAACATTATTTAACATAAAGGAGTGTATTAAAAGAGTTAATTACTTACCTCCTACACTGTTACCCCATGCAAGAAGTGTAATACCTAACATGGCATCCGATATACTAAAAGCGTATCCTACACATTGAAGAACAGCCACCACTTCGCCAGCTATCAAATAAACCATCATCATGGCAGTCAAGAAGCCGAGAAATGCAAAAACCTGCAATTAATTTGTCGCCAGCAGTTACAAGCAAACGGCTGTAGAGAGATAAAAAAAAGAGAGAATACCACCGAATAGGAACGGTTGCTGTAAATCGCAGAAAAAGCAGAAAAGGTACTCACGTTATGATACTTTGGTATGCGATCCTTGTCGGTCGTTAGAAATACAATTACGCCAATTACAGTGCCGGTACCGAGGAATATCGGGATAATTGAAACGGGGCCAAAATGTGTGTGCCAAACTACGAAGTAAGGGTGAAAATGAGACGAGATCGTACTGACTGGACCGCTGTTTCGGCCCATTAACCGAACTTAGGAAACTTTTTATTGGAGTGCATAACAACTGCATTCAGCAACGAAAAGATACTTTGAATAAAATATTGGGTAAATTATAGAATAATTGGCACTTTAAATTGAAACTCTATTTCAAAGGACCAGCTGCATTTAGTAAATGTGTACTTTACGTAAAACAAAATTGATAAATAAAATTAAAGACAGAGGGAACAGAGTCCAAGTCCCATGCGTCGCCGACCTTCCGGACGGTCTTAATACTTAATGAATTCCATGTCGCATGTATTCGTATTTTGCAAACGACCTTTCTAGTCTTTGGAAAATTTCATGAAAGATGTACACAGTATATCAACACGTTCATTAAGGTTCAGCAAAATAAATAACGCGAAAGTCGTGTAAAAATCTGTGCCAGTTTGTTTTAATTTTGCCTAAAAAAGGGCAATTTGTACGTTACAAAAAGTGCCAGCTTATATTTCACCGCGACTGAAAATATTTTCTGGGAAACCTGGAGCTTTTATTAGAGCGGACAATTTATAACGGCTACCGTAGAAGTCGCGACAATTAATACGACTAACCGTTTAATAGAAACAACGCAAAGGTCGGTGTCATACACAGCTGGAAGCAATTTAGCAGCTTGGACCAGCCCCTCATCGTCGCAGTGGTGTTCACAAGCGGGATAAATAATTGAAGTAGCAGCATGACAGGTGATCGTATAATTAAAATGATTTTAAAGACCCAGTTAGCGCTCGTCCAATCATCCTTGCTTATTGGATTGATATCGTATAGAAATTCTTTGAAAAGACCCTTTGGTCTGTTTGGGTCTTCTATCTCTTCAGGTTCCTCTGGTAACGACAGATTTCCACGAATTTGTTCACTTTGTAATTCGGTTGCAACTGCAACATCTGAAATATAAAAACACATTATAAAACTTTGCAAAAGGAAAAAGTTTTCGCAACAAATGCCACGCAAGGATCAATATGCCATCTAAAAAGCACTTTCGCAAGTGCAAATCAAACATTCATGAAAACAATTGCTATTCTAATTTGATACAGTTATAGGAGAGCGCTTGGTCAATCGTGAAAGCAACATTCGTACCGAGCTTTGTTCGCAAACCAAAAGCACGTTTCCTCGTGGAAATCCTTGGAATACTGGCAATGTCCTTGTTCGCCAAGTAAGTGCGCAGAATATTTGGATCTGACACATTTGGGATTCTAGCTGTAAAAGCACACAAAGAAAAATTTTAAACAGAAAGAATCAGTGATTGCGATGATAGAAAGGAATTGAAAATTTTTCGAACTGGTCGAGATGATTGAACCCTTTAATACCACAGAAGGAACTTTTCTCTCGCGTTCAATTCAGAAACGGGTCATTCCGTACCATTATCCTTTATCGAAAGTTTCCCTCTTCTCCGATTACAACGCGTAATTGCAATCAAATGATACCGTTTCCTTAATTAAACCGTGACTTCGCGCAGTTCCTCGAATTTATAGCTCCTTCCATACTTCCCGTTTTCAAGAATAACATTACGCCGCGGTCGCATTAAGTTCGCCGCAGGTTTAAATAGCAGGCACAAAGTTATTCTTTTAAATGGATTCGCTTCCGGGTCCAGTTTCGAGCGTACTAGAGTTGATACGTTTCGAGAGAGTCTTTCAAGACGGAAAACGCACTTTTCAGCTTCTCTTCGCGGGTTTCGTGCATCTGCATTAATATCACCGTCGCGATGAACAGTCCGTAGCATAAAATAAGGCCTGAAATTAAAATGCATAAGCATTAAAAAGCGTTAGCCTAGCTAGGGTCTGCAGGTGCACGCAAAAGTCAGCGTAATTAATCGTCACACAAAAGCACGATACGACGAAAGAAAAACTTGCAGGTGCATTGTAAATCTCGGCTTAAATTATGAAATGGCATAAAAGAGGCTTATTAATTTTGTTCCTTTTTACGTTACACAATGAAACAGAATTCTAAGAAATGAGGACAAAATTCAGTGCCACGTTTTCTTCATTCAAAATTCAGAATTTTGTTAAGTTCTCTACTTTTAATTAATTATTTGACGTATTTAATTTTTTTTAAGATATAGACAAATTCTCATAGCTTTTGAATTTTAACTTCTTAGAATTCTGCATCACTCTCATAAGAGAATTCATTTGAATCGCAGTTCTTCTTCGAACGAATAGTTTTCAGGAACGAAAAACGCATTTAATTGGCGGTGATTTAAAAGGGGTGGTTTAATTGTTTCGTGAGGAAGCTTCAATTGTTTCCTTCCGAAGAATTTTACTGTTTTCTTCTATCGATTTCGTTAGCTTCAACAATAGTCCCGTTTTTTTTCTCTCTCTGTTTCTATTCTGCTTCTCTTTTCCTCTTTTCGCTGTTAAAAAACTCATCGCGAAACGCTGGAGAAATTCGTCGGTGGCCAGATTGCGAGGAAACCAACGGTAGAAAGATCGTGGCAGTGCTTAATTAAATTCACCCTCGAGTTATTGTTATTACTGACAATGAGATAAAGTTTCTACTTATTAGTCCCCGTAGATAAACTTTTGCACTTCCATGACACGTAGCTCATTTGATCTCCATACGCTCTTTGTTTTAATTTAAATGGAAATACGATTTGCTCACCATATACATATATGTATGTATTTATTTCTGACCTACATGCTATGCGTGAGATAGTTTTCTTGAAAATAAAAATTAATCATTATTCATTTTTCTCTACTCTAATTTTGAATTTTTCGTTAAAAATTTTCGTTTGAAATTCACATAATATATAAATTCTAGAAACAAATTATCGTGTTTATTAATGTTACCCTACTGCAAGGAATCGTTCTCGTTTTATACAATTAAGAATAGCAATTTTTCACGTATCTACCAAACTTGTTCCAGTAAACCTGGTAGCGTTGCATATAACTTTACAAGAAACTTTCTACAATTCCCTAAAGTTCACTGCTTCTCGGAATATGCAATGTTCGGGCTATACATGAAAGTACTCCTACGTAGGAGTTACGCGAACTACGATTTCAACGTTCGAGTTAGATAACAATGCAACGAAATAAAAGCCGCGATTAGAGTCTATGTGTTAGTTTGCTGAAAACGGAGCGGCCGACTTATTTAAACAATACCTACTATCCATACGTAACTTTATTACAAATATTATTTATTAATCGACACGTGCTAATTGGAAGATTTTAAATTCCTGTACTTGCGATACTTAAGGGTAGTGGGCATTTTTTCGGGTCAAAAGATATTATTTGATAGGAGACAATATTCGGAATCAAAAAGGTCTTTGACTTTAGTATGTATCACCCTTAATAGTAAGAGCACACAACACGATCAGTAAAATGGTTACTAAGAAAAAGGAACATGAGTACCGAAAAACGTGATTTTACAAGAGAAGTATTTTTCTAAAATCTTGTCTATCAATTCATAAATCGGACCCAACTTTGTAACCATTTTTCGCCCATTTATAGTATATCCAAGAAATTGTTTCAATTATAGATTTTGATTTCAAATACTGTCTATTATCAAATAAAAAAATATTAAAAAATTCAATGTTTTTATTCCTAAAAATGTCCACTACCCTTAAACGGGTATTAATGTACTCTAATACTTAAAGTGAACCGTATACGTACTGACAGCTTCCCAAATGTAAACAATTTCATCATTCACGACGTAGCTGATCCAACATATCGACATCATATAAAAACAAGCATCCCTCATAAGGAGTTTCAAGGGGACTCGAAAGGGTTTGACCACGGCGATCGATCCAGCGATCATTGTCGTAACAAAGACACCGGCGCCAATTAACTCTGTAAACATTATTATCCCCTCTTCGCTAGCCGATACGAGAGACGTGAAGATGTCAGGTGCACCGTTTCCGAATGCCAATATCGTCACCCCGGCTATACTGTCCGATAGCTGCATTATACTGGCTATCACCGCCAGTGACGGGCAAAAGCTGCACAGATAGACAGAATAAAAAAAAGATGAGCCCAAGTTGGGTGTCGAGGATCAAGTGGAGGGAATTGTAACCCCAAACCGTATATGATATTATCCTTCGAACGACCCACCCTAAGCTGATAAATGATGTTTTGTAACATAAAGGATGGTCCGGTTATTTTGATACTATTTTCTAAAGTATTATTGTCCATTTATTTTTCACGAGCTGTGATCCTTCATTTTCTTTTTTTTTCTTTCTTCCTTTTAATTGCTTCAGTAGGAAAATCGAATTTTTTATCATACTATATTCTACCTAATTAAAATTTCTAATAATCAGATTTTTGATCTACCTACATATAATTATTATAGGTAGATCTACCCAGCCCAGATTAAACGTGTTAAATTTGATCATTAGTGTCACATATTCGTAATTTTGAAAATCATCAAGAATATGGTTACTTATTACTAAGGTTCTTAGACGAATTGAGAATTGGTAAAAATTTTTATCAGACACAAAAAGGAGAAATAGAGAAGGGGGAGGAGATTGTTAGGATTAATCTGCGGTGATCGGTCCTGCTCGATGTTTGATTTCCGGACAGGGAACGGTATCGAACTTGCTCCTCATCGTTGGCTCCGGTTGATATTTTATTTCCGGTCGTATGAGCGAATGTCGAGTACGTTCGCCGACGTTCTCCCCCTCGATAGAGGGAATCGAATTTCGATGCGTCTGCGTTTGTAAATGCAACTGCTGGGTAAATGAATCGAATTAGGTGCTGATTCAGACTTCGTTTAAAGACGAATTTCGTCTGGGATTGAAACTTGAGTGAAAATTCAGCATTCATCTTTTTTTGTAAAAGAAAAAAAGGATGTGACCATTCGGTATGTTAAAAATTGTTAAAGAATAAAATGTAAAGCAATAAATCCTTATGCTACGAGCAAATGGTGTAAGTCATGTTCAAGATGTTATGGTAGAATTATTGTTACCATCGTGGTAAAATTTTATTAGGGTAGAAAGTTGCAGGGTGTCACGTAACAGAGGTGAATCTTGCCTTCTTAATGGTGGAACATAAAGTTTCCTCGAGTGTCTGGATTAAAATTGAATCAGTTTCCGCGTGAAAATACGTCGATTCGCACGCACACGATCAGCTATAATTCACCCTTTACTGAACACAATGTGTCGTGAAAGACTTTACGCGGCGCGTGTCCAGTAGTTTTATGGAAAATCGGGGAAACTTTATTTCTGTCGTTACGATTTTATTAACTATCGTTTTGTAATTCTTCTGTGCTTTATTGAACTTGTGTGCAGAAATAGGGAGGGTAAAAAAATGTGGACATTAAGACAGAATTTTATAATTCTATAATAATTCCAGTAATAACTAAGTTACCAAAATTAATTATTGATGCATTCAGTATGATGATTGAAATTTTATAATGTGACGTATAATTAATTATGAATTCTTACCCTGACTACTCTTTATTTAACGTGTTTTACATTTAATAAGGAAGTACTTACAAATCGTCTGCAGTGCTCCCTAACATCAGAAACAGATATAAAAGCCATAGTATTAAGAATATCAATCCAAGGCTGAACAAAAATGTATTCTCCGATCTGAAAGTACAAAATAGGACTTCCGTATATTGAATGACGGAATCAGTGTTACAGTCTTCAGTTTTTATAACCCATTCACAACGTTTTTCAGCGGGAATTTGCCAAACGTATGAACAATCATCCTAAATAAAATTAAAAACTCGATAAATTTCGTTCAAATTAAATTCAACGAAACAAAATTATTTAATATTAATATTTTTGAAATGTAATAAAAAGAGAAAAATATTTGAAGCGATAAAATCGTTCTGTTATTAATAATTACATAAAAGAATACAGATTTACAAATTTATTTTGTGATTTTAATCGTACCTCACGTATTGGTAAATATCCATGTCTATAATATCTACGAACCATACCAAACTCGTGTCAATCCTTGTTTTCTCGCTGAAACGTTAATACAATTTTTAACCTGTTTTTATTCAATTGAAAACCATGCTGTCAACATTTCCGTATAAATAAAATGATATACAATACACTGAATTCAATTGTTTAGTGGAAAGTGTAGATCATTACGGATGGTGAATAAAAATGAAATTATCGGAATCAAATTTCTATTAACCATTCGTCTGCAATTTTATTTTCACTAACACCGTCTACATACTGGGTCGTTTAAGTTCGTGACTAATTTTTTTACTCTTCTCAGTTTTAAAAAAATCTGCAAAAATTCTGGGATACTTTTAGTCGAGTTAGATATTCAAAGGATTAAGTGGGAAAAATAAATATTTGGAAGGAAATTGGGAGAAACTTGGAACTCACCTCAGACATAAACGACCCAGTGTGTCTATTGACTCTACAGTGTAGAGGGTTAATTTTGATGAAATTTATATTATTGTAAAATTTTATTTTATATTTTTAATCCTTCCTCGGTTATATAATGAATACTAAGGCAATCTTTACATAGGTTATTGGGTTAAATTATTATTTTTGTTATCGAATCACTTGTGAATTGTTCATTATCAATTGTGACTACCGGTTAACCAGTTAGTTTGAAGCGAAGAGATTTGTTCGGTTACCACAATTGGTGCTGTTACATTTGTAAATCTTTCTCCGCGCAATTCAACGCAAACCGGTACATTTATCTAAGTACAATCAACAAAAGCCGATCAATTTGTTACTGTAGCCGAAATAAATAGCATAGCCGGTGACCATATGCCGCGCAAGCTTGAATCATTTGTAACATTGAAAATAGCAGAGTTCATTTTTCCCTTGGCACGCGTTCTGAATCCAAAAAGCTTCCGCGATCAAGATGTACACAATGTTCACACTTTTAACATTCGGATTTATTCGTTCGCGAATCCGACTTTACCTCCGATATTCAGGTGAAACTGAAAGGGAGTAACCATCAACGGTTGAATGAAAACAAGAGGCTCATTAGGCAAAATCCACCCTCTTCCTATTGTTTCTTGTTGTCGAGGAACGATGAAACCGGAAGTTCAGTTAATGAGCACGACACAAACCGAACCTGTCCACTTTTCGTGGACTTTCATAAAAATAACCCTTCGAGTACTGTCCAGCAATTAAAGTCGAATAATTAATTAAGGTCTAGGTCGCAATTGAACTTATACTGTCAGTACGATTAATACTGATAAAAATTTAATATTAAAGAGACTGAAAAAAAATGTTCCTTCATTTTTAAAAGCTAAATCATCCTTTGTGAAAGATATTAAAATACAATTAAAATCTGGAAAATTGTTATACTATTCGGACGAGTAAAATGAAAATTACAAACTCACTTGAATCGTGCTAGCGAGGATGCGTTGAATTCTTTAATCGAGTAAAGTTTTAATTAAAAATATTGAAACTGCATGCCTGGTGCTCGTCCCGAAACAATTCTATTGTCGCACTCGAAAATTAAAATTTCATCGAATTCCTGTTCATCGCATCGCCGGAAGAAATTAGGTCGATCGGAGTGAAAGAAACATGGTGAAAGCTCGCATTTTTAGAACGGTAGATACGATTTTTCTTTGCTCCGTTCCGCTTTGCTTCCACCTTTCAAAGCAATTCCTTGCTACAATAAATTATTTTAACATCGGCTCCTTTCAGCTCTTTGATTACCTTTCTGTAAGTTCGGTTTGCCAGTTGATGAATTTAAACGTTTCACAGTGGAAACCTATTAAAACGAAGAGGGTCACTCGGTTCTTGCTACTTTTATATTTTCCATTGCTACGATACATTTAAATCTATTAATTCAAGCATGAATAAGTAAATACATAATGGATAGAATCGACTGGAAACAATGGAAATGCTTTGAAACGAGAAATGCTAAATCGTGCCTTTATTAAAGCAGAAAGTATGCTTTTTGTTTTATTTCATTCCTGCAGGTATTTATTTCAAATTCTTCCATTAAAGCGTTTTATTTTGAAATTTAACTGATATTATGCAAATTAAACGTTTACAAGATGAAAGATATCGCGATTGAAATGAATTTTTTTATCGCATTCCTTTGAAAATGCTCGTTGCCAGATTTATCGGACACCGTAAAAATATAAACACTTTATTGGATTGCATTTGGAATCGTAAAAGAGACACGGTTTCTCCCCCAATTTATAACTGAGCTTTTATTCTCTCGACGAGAGACACGGCCGACTTTTCCGGCTTCCTGTTTTGCTACTCCGCGTCCGTGTATTATATAAAACGCGAGTGATATAATGTCGGAATATGCAAAAGCTTCTTTTCGCTGGATAAAACGGTTCTTGTAACTAATATAACAACGTTCTCCTTGTCTTTGTTAGAGCAACTGAAGTTCTGCAGTCACGGCTTTTGTTGTATTTAATACAGGGCTTATGCAGTGGTGTAAAAAGTCAATTTGTCACAGGAATCTCTCGAAACGAATGATCATTGCCTCTAATAATAATTTACATTCTTAATGACTACAGTTATTTTAAGAAATAAAAGTACTTCTCTCGGTTGTTGTTAAAAATAGAAGAATAAATATGAAAAATATTCTTATAAATGGTCATTTAATTTCAGTTAATAAATAAGTGTATATTCCATTGAATATTAGCAATTCTTCAGAAATTTCAATTTCGTAATTTACAATCGTGCTTTAATATGCGAAGAGCAGCGCGTAACGTGACGCTGAATGAAATTTCTTACGCATCGATGCTCATCTATCACGCTGCAATTGGAATTAATTTTCCAAGTTTAATAGACACTCGAACGGTCGTACCGGTGACAATTTACCGTGAGATTGGAATACATTCACTTAGAATTGCAAACTGAAACCTGGTGACGAGCAAAATTATCACCATCTATTCGATGTTAAATGGCAATTATGCCTTCTATTTCCACTAAAACAAGAAACAATTAATTTTCTTGTAACTTTTAAGCAATTTATGCATAATACATTTGATCGTGCAATCACTTTCCATAGAAAAGGTTAATATAAATTTGTAATGGGACAAACGGTTATTCGGGGCTGGTAATTCACGTACGACCAATTCGAAAATCGACGATGAAACTCGATGCAGGTGGTACGCTTATCACGAGTCGATTGTCATCCGCTACACGCATCCTGCCAATACAATTGCAGCGCAAAAATATTTCCATGATGGTACCTTTATCTGTAGGGGGGCGAGAACGTTTAATCTCCATGTTCATAATTTCTGGTCGACGAAGCGTGTATATTGAATATTTTACATCGGACCGTTTGTACAACATTCTTTGATATTTTATTAAAGTATTGCTTTTAAAATTGTTCTACTCTTTTAGTCGGTTAAAAATACAATTTTGCACTTTTTTAATTTAATTTTTATTTTGAAACATTTTCGATGGAGCCATATTTCTAAAGTATTTATTAGAATTAAAGTAAAATGTATGGTGATTATCAGAATTATTTCAAAAGGGGGGGGTACACGTTTAAAATTCAATGCAAACATCAGCGTGGTTATCGGCCTGGTACTATTGCTCGGCAAACACAGATAGCCGGTGTAAACGAGCCAACGCAGAAATCTCTCTCTCCGTTTCGACCCTTCGTTTCCTTTTCTATCTCTACCACGAAATTCCCATTTGCACGAAGAACGGAGATTCTAATTACCTCTTGTTCACGAGCAGTTCGTTCGATTCTAGCCCGTATGAAAGTCGACGGTAATCCAACTGCACAGGCCACGTCCCTTTTTCGCGAACTAGGTCATGTTCAAGTGCTGATCCTCAGACAGAATAAGAATCGTTACTTTGCAATAAACCGCTTTCTCCCTTCTATAAAATCTACATTTTATGCGTGGTAAATAATTATATAAAATAGGTACTTTAACCTAATTTAACCTATCCTTGAATTACTTTCAAAAAATAATATCAATTCTGTTCTATAAGCAAATGAATCCTTGAACGGCGGACCAGGGAGAAAGACACAATTTTATATCATTTTCATTTTATAAATTTTACACTCTTCTTTTAAAAATTATTCTTTTTCGTTTAATAATTTCACACTTAACTTTAGAAATGGGAAATATTTTTGTAGATGTTTTGTTCAAATGACTAATTAACATAAAAAGAGTAGAGAATTGTAAGAATGATGAATAGAAATTGTACAACAATAATACAGTGCATTACAATTCACTTTGAAATAGGAACGAAGGAATAATTTGACAGGATATTCGACAAGTATAAGCACATTTGTCAACAATGTTCCGGAGCCCACTTGTGCATCTGAATCAATTACTTCAGTTGCGATCGTTTGCATACAAAGCGATCTGATTGCTAACAGTATATGACATGGAACGTGCGGGTAACTCGCGTGCAAATTTGGATCTATCCCAAGATTTAACCTAGACCTAGCCTAAATTCAACCCCGATTCGCACATTATTCTCCTCGTCTCGTAATTCGCCCCCTCTATTTACGACGCGGTGCACCCTTGAATCATATGGGATTCCGTAACGTTTCGAACGTGACGCGCAACTCGAATCGTACGACGCAGTAAAACACACTTCTGCTTTCAGAAACTTCGAAAACAATTTGTAAACGCTCGTTATCTAACGCAAATTGATATTGAACGAACGTTGATTTTCTCAACTGAGCTGTTTATCCATTTATAACTTCTCAATCTTCTTTCCTGAAAGGATATTTGTACAAAACGTTTCATCTAACTTTGCCATTAATATTTCATTTTGAAAGAAAATAAAAATCCCTCCCTTGAAATTTTTATGAGATAATTTAAAAAATCGAGAACCCTTTACTTATCCGCTTCAATTGCAAATAATGCATAATTTTATTTAATTTTCTAATAATCTTATTAATTAGTCTATAATAGTGCCTAAAAATTCGTAATTTCATCGAATAACATTAAGAACAAATACGATCTAAATTCTGCATTTGAGAAGATCAATTTGCTCGTTTCTTTTACTTTCAGTTCTTCTGTATGGGAAACGAAGTAATTTTCAGGAGGTAACCTCAGAGGAAATAAAGTTCAAACCTACGTTTGGAGTTTTATTTCTCGACCACAGTG